AAACAGGACCCACTCCTATGTAGGGTTGGGCATTGAGCACCGAGCATCGATTGGAACCGGTTCCAACTGTTCATTTTTACCGGAATCGGTCAAAGTTTTTTATTTCGATTCTTAGTTTCGATTCCTAGAATGCCGACCGGAAGAGGAATCTGCGGTCACCCTCCGTGAAAAATTAACGTGATCTGCAAATTGTGATCGACGCTCTTCAGAGCTGATCAAACCAGCTGTCTGTGTGCAGCACCGAGTCCCCCCTTCCCCCACCCGGCGTGCAGCGGCCAAATATAAACAAACCGATAGGAACCGGAATCGAAACGAGGAATTGGAATTGGAATCGGAATTGTTCAAAATTAAACAATGCCCAACCGTAATCACCAGTGGCGTTGTGTGCCTGAAATGTTCGGCGCCGTGGCCGGTTTGGATCCACCCAATAGAGCTCCGGGAGTTGACGTCACTTCTCCCAGCATGCAACAGTTCAAATCAAAACGGCGCCATCTTGGCAGACAGAAGCCGGCAGCTGGACTATTTGTTATTGTCAGAAAACTCAATCAAACGGGAAATATGGTAGATTCCTGTTGTGCCCCAGGATGCAGAACACATGCGGACGACATAAGGAATGAGTCATCTACAGGATTCCCCAAGATCCGGAGCGCCGCAAACGTTGGATCATTGTAATAAAACGCGCTAGTGACCGGGCTAAAATGAAGCTGTGGGATCCCGAGAGTAAAGGTTTTCACTTATGCAGCGACCGCTTCATATCAGGTACTTAAACCAACGTTTCCTCAACTGTGTGTGGTGTTTATTTTAAATGCTTTTATTACGATTCTTAGTGGGCTTCCTAAACTTATTTTGGCGTGGCTTTTTCTGTCTTATTACTCATAGCAACAAGTAAACATCACGTAAAACGTTGCCTCGTGAGTTCTGCGTGCTGCCGTTTACGTGTTTTATGATCACAGCAATTAACCGGCTAAGCTGTATTTCACTTTTAAGCAATGGTTGATCAGTTGTCAGATCACACATAAAAAGCACTTTGGATTGCTGTTATCTGTCTCACCGAGACAGATCTCAGACAGATCCTGAGACGCTCCTGCCTGACATATTTATTTTATTCACGGAAAAAAATCAGACTAGTGATTTCTCTTGGTGTTCAGTTTATACATTCAAACAGCAAAGCACTCTATTTAAACTACTTACATGTAAATCTGTTATTTGTCCATTCATCCATCCATTTTCATCCTCTTATCCGGAGTCGGGTCATGGGGGCAGTAGCGTCGAGAGGCCCAGACTTCCCTCTCCCCAGCCACCTGAGCCAGCTCCTCCGGGTAAATCCCAAGGTGTTCCCCGGCCAGGTCCGGTAAGAAGTCCGCTCCGACAGCTTCTGGCATTTTTAAAAAGTATCCCAGGGGCATGGTAAGGGTCGGAGATGTTTAGTCTATTTAATTTCTGACTGTATAAAACTATTTATTCGGTTTTAAAGTGTGAAGTAAACTCCAAGCCGATCCCATTCATTTTGTTTACTTTTGTTGCCTGCCAACATGGCGTCTACTCTCTGAGAGTCACGTGACGTCCAGAGCTCTATAGACTAGAATGGATTTTACTTGAAGCAGCAACGTTTCAAGCTGCTCCAAGCTGCTGATGCCTCCAGGGTGGACCCGTTTTTACTGTTTTCACACAGCAACCACTTGTCTAAAGCTAACATTCAACTCAATGTTGCTGTTTTACTATGAGCACTATCGGGGGTGTGAGACGTGAAGTTACCAAGTCAATCTTAATGAGTCACTGCTGGTTACCAAGGTGAGACAAATGAACCACTGGATGCAGCTTTAACATTTTTAGCTTGTTTTTCTTTATATTTGTTACAGATCACACAACAAAACTAAACCATTTTGTGGCTTCCATCTTTCAGAAAGTCCCAAATTAATTTGGCTTTACAGAAAATAGCTGCTGTGTTACAGCTGCAGCGGCCTCTTAGAAGATTTCCTCAGAAGGTTTGAACATGACTTCACCCACAGAACGCTGAAACAGAGGAGCCGACATGCAGAACATCAGGGATTTGGCCGACAGTCAAAGAGAGGCAGGACAGCAGAGAAACCCACAGACGGAAAGGTAAATGATTCAGACACAATAAAGAAAAGCAGATGAGCAGAAGCGATGCGGGTTTCACTTCTCATTCAGATGGATTTAGAGCAGGTTGTTCCTGCGAAGCGTCTCCAGCAGCACGAGCGCTCTCTCACATTTGCTGCAGCACAAATGTCTTCAAATACAGAAATGTCATGCCTGGCTGGGCTGGCATGCATGCAGTGATCTGCTGTTGTTCTCTACCCACTTACAGGGTCGCAGCGGCCTCTGTGCACGTTGTAAAGAGAACCAGATACCCACTGATTACTCAGACGCTGTTCTACGTGCACAGACATGAGAAATTCAAACCAGCTTTGCTTGTCTTTTGTTTCCAAGCATTCATCCATCACTTTGTTTCCATTTCAAACATCTGGGGACTCGTGAACCCGACCCTCCACAAATATATGAAGTCATTTAAAGAACCATATTTAGTTTGGTTGGAACTTCAGGTTTGAGTCGAGTCAGATAAAAACGTTTATGATCAAAAGGTTTATCCTTCGTGACTAGCAGGAAGTACATGTTATTTATACAGCACTCATCACAGAAAGATAAAAAAACGAACAATGACATTAAAAATATTCACCACTTCATCAATATTTTACTATGTAGTTGATGTCTTCTTGGGCCTGTATTAATCAGCTCGACCAGCATAAACCTTTTAACATTTAAATCAATAAAATGTTTACTTTTAAAACTACTGAGAAGAAAAAATCATTTCACAGTAAAGTGCAGTTTTGAGAAATGAAACGCAGCTCAGACTAGTTCGAAGAAACAATATAGGCATCTTGAGATGTCATTTAGTGACTAAAAGACTAAATTTACACTTTATTTTGGTCAAACTGAACTAAAACTAGGGATGCACAATACATCGGTATGAATATCGGTATCGGCCGAGTTTAGGCATTATTTATAGGGATGTCCCGTTCCGATATCGATATCGGGAGTAATCTGATATTGGCCTAAAAACTGCATCAGATTATATCGGACGGCATCAAAAACTGACGATATAAGCAGTCCATTAAGTTTCCCATTTTTGCAACCAGTGGTTAAGAAAAAATTGTCATTTTTTCATGCTTATTGTTATTGGCTCATGTTCTCCGATTGAGTAATATCATCTGATCAAGCCTTTCATGCATTCCACACTAGAAAATAGGTAAAAGTATGTATGATGTGTGCTGATATCGTATCGGATCGATATCGGTATCGGTCAATACTGAAGGCTGCAATATCGGCATCGTATCGGAAGTGAGAGTTGTATCGGGACATCCCTAATTATTTACTTATCAGTATCGGTCTGATAAATAAAACTGGGCCGATATTAACTCATTCACTGCCAATGACGACTTTAGTCGTCAATTACGTTATTTAACGGGAGGTGGTAGGGAACAAGCTCGTGCACCCTGACAGTAAAACTAATCATCTAAAAATGATCTTCACCTGTGTGTGCGTCAGTGACGTGTCACGTGATCAGGAAGAAGCCGATCCATGAAATAGGAGCTGGATTTGGGAAGCCACTATGCCTAAGGCGAGACGCAAAGCGGATAATCTTAAGCAGCTCACACTTCAACAAAGTCTGTTTCGCGGTAGCAAAACTTTGCATCGTTTTCCTGTCGAAAGAAAAGACGACAACCAACCCGGGCCAAGCCGAGGCGACAACCAACCCGGGCCAAGCCGAGGCGACAACCAACCAGGGCCAAGCCGAGGCGACAACCAACCAGGGCCAAGCGGAGGCGACAATCAACCAGGGCCAAGCCGAGGCGACAACCAACCCGGGCCAAGCCGAGGCGACAACCAACCCGGGCCAAGCCGAGGCGACAACCAACCCGGGCCAAGCCGAGGCGACAACCAACCCGGGCCAAGCCGAGGCGACAACCAACCCGGGCCAAGCCGAGGCGACAACCAACCCGGGCCAAGCCGAGGCGACAACCAACCCGGGCCAAGCCGAGGCGACAACCAACCCGGGCCAAGCCGAGGCGACAACCAACCAGGGCCAAGCCGAGGCGACAACCAACCCGGGCCAAGCGGAGGCGACAACCAACCAGGGCCAAGCGGAGGCGACAACCAACCCGGGCCAAGCGGAGGCGACAACCAACCCGGGCCAGGCGGAGGCGAAAGGCATACACCGCAGCATGTTTCGTCTGAGCCAGAGACTGCGATTTCAGCAGACAGTTCCGACTCGGATCATTTTAACGAACCTGATCCAGATTCGTCAGATGAATGGTTGCCGTCTGGACCGACTGGGAGCAGCAGAGATTCTTCACCACACCATAAAAGAAAAACAGCTATGTCTCCGATATGAGCTACGGGGTCAAGCTAACCTTTCACACGCTGGTGATGAGCTATATTGAAGCCACAGCTGCCCTGACAGAGGTGAGGCTGGCAAGAAAAGGTGCCATTGGGCCCTCCGACCACCACCAAGGTGGGTTAAGTGTCTTGCCCAAGGACACCACAGCAGCATTCTCTGCCGGGATCGATCCTGCAACCCTCCGATCAGTGAACAACCCGCTCTACCTCCTCCTGCCTCTAACCAAGACCAGCAGTGGCCGGTTGCCGTGGATACGAGGTGACGGTTTTAGCTTATAGCCACATGACTACATCACTGCCACTAAAGACACATGACCATGCTCTTAAAGATCAGCGAGTCGTCCATCTAACGAGACAAATCACCAGATGCACATTTCCTGGCCAACTGGACCGACCCGTTTCAGGCTGAGAGGAGCCGGATCGGGCCTCCGGCGCCTGAGTTGTGGTTACTGGTGGTTTCACAGACACTAAAGTCAGAACAGCCACAGCTGGCTTTCATTAACCCAACTCAAACTGGAAACCAGACAGGCACATAAATGAGTTCTCTTAAAGCCACTGGGACCGTTCAGAGTCCAACTTACCGCCAGGTCAAAGCTCAAAACCCTCTCCTCATCAGAGCGGTTCTGCAGGTCCTCCAGGTCATTCGAGGACAGCAGCATGTTCTGTGTGGAAACAGGCGACACACAGCTGAACGACCACACACCAGAGTCACCAGACCGGCTAAAACCAGCGGAGTCAGAGTAAATCCTTCATAATCATTATTTTACAGCTTACGACGGGTTGAGCCAACGCTAGGAGTCTAAGTGTCTGCCCCAAAGGCATCTGGCTGCACCTGAAAGAGTTTAGCTCCATCTTTGAGTTTTTACCTCCAGGGCGCTGTCGCTGCGCAGCGAGCGGGGAGGTTTGGGAGCGGACTCCCTGCAGCGGGGCGGATGGTGGCTGCAGTGCTTCTGAGCGCCGTCGGGGTCGCCCAGCAGGAAGACCAGCTGTCCAAGGTCACCCTGGAAACAGGAAGACGGTAAAATTAACCCAAGTTTAACAGGAAGGTGTCTCATGAAAAGAGTAAGAAAAGTGTGCCGTGTGAGAGGGACGAGCTTGGACACGTGCACCTTGGAGACTGGTGGACATGTTGTGTATAACTTAGTGTCTGATGACTGCAAAGAGTTAAATTGATGGAGTTCCTGCAGTTGTTCCATTTTTATAATTATTTTATAGCTGTGGAGGGTTCTGGGTGCGTTTTCATGAAGCCAACTAGAAAACGTTTAATTAAATACAAAGATATTTTTAGAAAAGGCAGAGCATCTACAGCGCAAATAAAATAACTTCCTTCAATCCTTCAAAATAAAAGTATCTTAAGTAATTAAAAGACGATGCTCTCCAGGAGAATTCATGTCTAGAGTCGTTTATGGTTTGCATTCATCTCCAGATGCAGTGGTCAGCACAGCGACAGCTATCCAAATTCTGATTCGGGTACCAGCCCAGGTGTTTTGGGTAGATTTGCTCATCCCGGCTTTAGTGACTCGAGAAGTTACGCTTAAACAGCTCCTTTTCTGTGCAGCCTGGTTGTGTCAGGATGTATCCCACATGAGGGAAAAGTGTGATGATGAACAGTCTCATCCAGAGACGATGCTGTCGGCGTGTCTTAGTGAGGAAGTGCTCCATCCTTCGAGCTCTCTAAAAGCCTCTCACCAGGGACGGTCGGACACGGAGGATCCATTTATTTGATGCTGACAACAGAACCAGATGCTGTCTGTGTGACACGCCTCCCCTCACGATCCAGGCTACTTACTCGCTGCCGGGGCTTATGAGACGCACAAATCATCCGATACGGGAATTGCTTTTGTTCCTGATTTGGAAATACAAAGGGACATTCCTAAACGGACAAATCTTAAAGATAACAAATGTGCTGTCGTGAAACTCATCAGCACTTCCTCTGTGGTTTCTAACACGGCGTTTTGGTGGAGATTATCAAAGCTGCCGCTTCTTCTGTATCCTGGAAAACAAAAACACGGTCTCCAAGCATCACGTCGGGTTTGGGATGAAAGGAAAACAGGAGGGTCGGGAAAATCGTGGCTGGAATAACTTCTGGTTTGCTGAAAGGCTGTAATCAAATATGAGCAGATGTTCAAAATGAATGAACGTGGAACATTCCCCTCTATTGTTACACCCATCTGCTCTTTAGAGCCGCTCCCAAAAAAAATCTACTTTCAAATCCGGAAAGCTCCATTCAGTCTGCGTCTGGCTCTAATAGTCAAGTTCGTGAATTCAGTTTGAAAGCAGCTTTTTAAATGTTTAGAGAGAATTGAAGTGAGAGGGTGTGGAGTTTATAGAAGGGCGTCTTGGGCGTGGAGCTGCTTTTCTGCTTCGTTTGATGATCAGCAGGAAAAAGAAAAATAATGAATAGCAAAGCAACGTACTTCAAATGGAGTTTCAAACGCCTCGCTGAGGCCTCCAACCATGAGCAGCCCATCGGCACTGATCTCCATCCCGTGGTTCACCCAACCCACGCTCTCCAGCAGGGAGCAGTCCACGTAGAGCGCCAGGCGATTAGCCGACACGCTGAAGGCCAGGTGGTGCCATCCTCCGTCACACACTCCGCTGACCGGAAACCTGACAAATACAACTCATCTGTGAGTCCCCCCCCAAAAAAACAAAACTATCTGAACGAACCCAACACTGCTATCAGGCTGTTAGGACAGGAGGGAAGGTCAAAGTTCACCTAAAAAAATCACTAAAGATGAATGAAGTCTGACCACATCGGTCCTGAACATAAAACATCACATCGTCTGCAAAACAAAGCACCATCAGCAAAAAGGTGCATCGGCTTTGCGATTTTGGCAACATGTCACTACATCTTTTATGGACTGATGGTAAAACTCTGCTTTTAGCCTTTATAATAAAATACTAAAGCATGAATTTGACTTTTAAATTTATAATTTTGAAATTAAACCAAAAATTCTGATTGTTACACCTAAATTATAATTATCTGTCTAAAAATTGTGACACCAAACTCTTAATTCTGACTCAATGAAGACTTCTGGAGTCACAATAAACAATTTAAAAGACTCTTAAAATCACAATAATGAGTGTATCTCATAGTTATGAGTTTATATTTGATGATAATAACCCAAAAGTGCATGATTTTGTATCTGTTATTATTACTACTAGTAATAACAATCATTAGCACCTCCTCTCCGGCGTTCTGTTATTACTACTACTACTAATAATAATAATAATAACCACAGTGCATTTGCCTATGTATTGTATATAATCAACATGGCTTTAAAACTCTGTTTTCCATTAAAACCATCAGAAATGAATTAAAAACTTGTGACTTTGAAATCCTTAATTATGGGAAAGTCTCTTAAAATCCTTGAAACTATTCTTGCATTTAAAACACGTAATTATGACTTAATGTCTCATGATGATGAGAAATTATTGTGTTGACTTTATATTCAAGAGTTTCAAAGTAATAATTAAGACTTTAAAAGTCTATCATGACATTTAAAGTCTTACACTGAAACACGTACAGGTGTACTCTATTGTTTTTGTTTATATTTTATTGTTTTTGTTTATTCTTTTGAATGAAATATGTATAAGTATACTCTGTTGTCGTTTTATTTTTTTTTTTAAGAAATAAAAATTCTAAAAAAAAAACTTAACTTTGCCTTTTGAACGTCTTAAATTAGGGCTGCCATGATTAGTCGACTCGTCACGGCGACGCCGACAAATAAAGTGGTCGACCATTAATTTAATAGTCGACGCGTCGTTTATTTAATAAACATTTTATCTCGCCTGGTGCGGCACGTTCGGCGTTTGCTTCCTGCCTTTCTGCTCAGCCGCCTTTAGCTCCGAGGCGCATGCACAGTGGTGGCCATCCATATCAGCCTTCATCAACGGAGAAGGAAAACACGGCGAGTCGGCAACGTCGCTCTAAAGTTTGGGAGCATTGCACAAATTCAAAAGAGAGGCCTGTAGGGTGCAAACTCTGCAGAGTGAAACTCTCCTTTCACGGGAGCACATCGGCGATGCACGAGCACCTTAAAGAGCAAGTCACCCCAAAATCACATTTTTTTTGCTGATAAACTATATAAAGGAGTGTCTAATCATGCTACAGACACGTGTAGTCAATAATTTGGCAGTTCAGTGCATCTTGGTTAAAATTCAAATATTCTGCCTAAAACTGTCAGTGTTGCGCCGTCGTCAGGGAAAAATTCTGCACTGTATTTGAATTTAAATCTGCCACCGCTATTGGCTAAGAGGTATGCTATGATGTCATCTGGTATATTATGATGTCATAATGCCATTGTGAGCCTGTGTGTGTGTGTATTTGTTAGCAGCTCCGCCTTCTCGGTCTGCCAAGCAACAGCATTTGTTGCATTTTTCAAACATGAAGTGGGAGTGAAGTAAGTTTATTGTAGGGGGTAACTTGCTCTTTAAGAGGAAGCGCGTCATGGCGGAGAACAAATAGTCATCTCTGTAGGTTTACCTCCTGTTAGCTGCTAACATAGCTGTAGCAACACCAGTAATAGCGGCGATTTTATGACCTTTACTGCGTTTGTATGTCACTTTTTCTTTTTGCTCTAATTACAAACGCTAATGATTTATTTCATCCCGCTACGTTACAGCGTTACTAAAAGTGCTCCTCTTCAGTGGACGAGTTTGTTACGTGCTCACCTCAGCAAGCTAACGTCCTGACCGAGGTCATTGTGAGCATGGTGGTAATGAGACTCCTGTCCATGGTCGGTTTCAAAGAGATGATCAAGCAGCTCAACCCAGGTTACCATGACTACTACCTACCAGGCTGATCCCACTTAACCACCATGATGGAAAAGAAGAATTAAACAACTTTTACAGTGTGTGTGTGTGTGTGTGTGTGTGTGTGTGTGTGTGTGTGTGTGTGTGTGTGTGTGTGTGTGTGTGTGTGTGTGTGTGGACACAAATAACAAACATTAGAATAAAATGCATTTCATGATCAAATAAAAAGGTTGCTGACTGAATAATCATGAAACTAATATATTTTGAAGCAGAAAACATTTTCTTTGTGTTCAGTCTAAACCAACTTCATTTGATATAACATAATTATTAATCTGGTAAATAAACAAACTTCGACATCTTTTATCTTTACGCTAAAGCAGACCCTCAGAGCTGCCGATGGTCCCTGACTGCTGACGAGTGGACCAGCCATGCTACAGAGGCGCACCTCGGTGTGTCCTGCTATTTCCTGAGTTATGACTGGAAGATGAAGCGCTTCAACCTTGCCACCATGACTCTTGTGAACACAAGTCATGTTTGGTTTTAGGTGCCTAACTCCATGTGGTTGTAGCATTTGTATCAACAGGTTACAAGTTAAAGTTGTTTGAAAAGCGATCATCTTGTCTTTATTATTAGACGGCACCTAGCTGATCACATTTCAGGCTAGAAGCTAATGATGGTATATTAGAGCATCCCGGTGCAATAAGCTAAACTTTTATGAACAACACGATTGGTCGACTACTAAAACTCGTTTGTGGCAGTTCCATCTTAAAGAGTAAGTCTCCCCCTACCAGAGTCTTACTCAGCTCCCACTTCCTGTTTGAAAAATGCAACAAATGCTGTTGCCTGGCAGACCGAGAGGGCGGAGCCACTAACAAGTACACACACACACACAGACTCACAACGACATTGTGACATCATATGGTACCAGCTAACGTTCTAGGGTACCTCTTAGCCAATAGCGATGGCAGATTTAAATTCAACAACAGTGCAGAGTTTTTACCTGACAACGGCACAACACTGACAGTTTTAGGCAGATTTTTTTTTTACTAAAATGCACTAAAGTGCTAAACTAAACAGGTGTCTGCAGCACGATTAGACACATTTATATAGTTTATCAGAAAAAACAGCTGATTTGGGGGTGACTTGCTCTTTAAATAAGTCTAGTAAATTCTTAAAAATGTCTTTGAAACTCCTATGTGTCCCTTTCAAAGTCACATTTACTTTGAAAATTATAGTTTCTAAAATGAAAACATGAAGAATTTTCCTCAATAATATGAAAAACTGACACAAATGTAAGAATTTATAACTTAAACCTGGAAAAAGTTGAATCCACGAACACCTTTCTACACCTTCAGCTCTAAGCCTGACTCCTGTACAAGTACAGTACCTGCCTGTGCCAAAGTTTTCAGCCCATCCGTGTTCGCTGTCTGTCGGTTATGCATGACGTAAAAGGAGGAAGCAGCCAAAAGACGTCAATTAAATCATCTGAGCAGAGACGGCCAAATGGAGTCGTCTTCAAACAAAAACAGATTTATCTGTGGAGGGCCGACCCCAGCGTCGATGCGGAGCAGGATTCAACACGAGCGGTTGTATCTGGGCCGGATGTTGTAAACATGTCAACATCTGGATTTTATAGCAACAGCGAACGGTTAAAAATAGGGAGCGTGCTGTTGCTTAGGGCTGAATTTAAGCTTTCTGTCAAGTCAGCATCAATTCATCTTTTTAAGTTCGTTTTCCAAGACTTTGCTTTGAGTTCTTGACTTTGTGAAAATACTAAACACAGAAGGGCTCGCTGCTTCTTAAACACCTCTAAAAGTCAGACTTTTAATTTACTGCTGTACTGAAAGCAGGAAGTGCAGGTGGACCCACTCGTAGTGCCGCTGCTGCGTTCCGATGAAGACGACGGCGTGGGCGCTGATGCGAAGCTGCAGTGTGATGCGTCTGTCCGGGCCGAGCACCGTCAACACGCCGTGTTCCTGCCTCTGAGAACTCCGGAGCTGCAGCAGCAAACTGAACTCATCTGCAACGCTGAACACATCAAAACGTGATCCACCCGGGCATGAAAAGGCTGACGAGAAGCTGCAGGGACTCTTACCTGTCAGCGAAGAGCCGCCGCAGAGGGAGGGACAAGGTGGAGTACTGTCCCACCTGGATGAAGGGACACCTGCTGTCCTCCACCTTCATGGATGAGTTGCTGCTGCCGGACACCTGGAAAGACAGCTCCTGCAGAACGTTCACCTCCTCTGCAGGAAAAAGGAAGTACAGATTTTATTGTTTGAGAAATTCAGCATAAAAGTCTGAAGAATGACTTCCTAAAATGTTCCAAGTCTTTTCTTTGGTTTCTTCCTTTGGGTCAACACATTCATCTAATCAGCCAATCAGACGGCAGCATTTAGGAAAGTTGGTTGAGCATCCCATGCTGGACTAGCACCAAAACACCACTGCTACCTAAGTGTGCTGTTTTCCCAGCAGGACAGGTGTCTCTCCTGTCAGCTAAGAACGGGAAGCTGAGGCTAGAATTCCCACAGGATCACTAGAACCGGATCCGAAGAGATGATGAGTCTAGATGTCAGCTGTCTGGTCAGGGGGAGGTGTTCCTGCCCCACCTTGGACCCCTCAGTCCCACCTGAGCCTGGTTTAAACACCACAGCCTACCTGAGTATTGCTACTGACCACGTCCATCCCTTTCTGACCACATGGACCCATCTTCTGACGTTGCTTCCAGCAGCACCATGTCACAAAGCTCAGATCTTCTCTAACTGCTTTGTGGATCACGACCACGAGTTCACTAGACTCCAGCGGCCCCCACAGTCACCAGATCTCAGTCCAGTCCAGAACCTTTGGGATGTGGAGGATTGGGAGCTTCTCATCATGGATGGACCAGAACCTCTGAGGAACGTTCACTCCTAGCTGCACTGATATATAAAGTGGTTCTGAAGGTAAAACACGCGCACACTCATGGAAACAAGGAGTTCTTTAAAAGTTCTCCTTCAATAGAATATTTTCAGATTTCACGGTCCACAGTGGGAGTCTCATCCTTGACTTCCAGAACCAGTAAATCAGGAGCTCCACGCTGCAAACATCTGCAGCAACCACACAGAACCACTCAGCCCGCTGAGAACACGACACCCACGGGCACCGACGTGCAGAGGGCTTCTAAAGCCGGCGCTCCGTCCCGACCCGCTGGCTCACTTCCTGTCAGACGTAAATTATTGAGTCTTTTATTTTTACCCCATCGGCGCAGCTAAAGTGCATTCGTCATGTTGTGCCCACAGGTGTTTTTCTTCACTAATTTGCACTTTTTCAGCGGTTACTGATTGTGAACGCAGCTCTTCATTACATCTGGAGAAAATGAGTCACTGTTCTAGTAACAGACTGGTGTTGTTGATCGCCCACTAACCTGAGAGCAGACCGGGACCAGCTATGCAAGACGAGGGTCTCAGACTAAAGCCGAGCGCCGTGGAGAGTCCATCCCCCACCACCAACACATCTCAGGCTGCCTCTGGACCGTCTCCAAAGATCTCTCAGGCAGATTAACTCCTGTCGAGCATTTTTTATAAATGAGTCCATGTCTGCGAGCCCCTTTAGAGGCTCGCTTACGCGTCTGTGACAGAAAAGTCGCTGATGTGATGAGAGGTTACGCTCAGCCACCAGGAGAAAGTTAACAAATAAAAGTTGAACCAGATCCAGAAACCCCCTGAGAAAGGGCTGGCTGGGCTCCACATTTTAACCCATAAAGGCATATTCCACCAAAGTAAACTTTTGTCTGTTGCCACATCTCACATAGTTAAACAAGTAGGAAAAACTATTTAGACCAGTTATTTCTTCCTGTTGAAAGGGAGTTTTCCTCTCCACTGTCGCTGCATGCTTGCTTAGTATGAGGATTGCTGTAAAGACTCTTGACACTAGTCAGTGGGTGTTTCTCAATGCCAAGGAACCTCGCCTTGATGTCTTGGCCCCGCCCCGGTTGCCTAGGAGATACGTCATCAGGAGCTGCCAAGACGTGTTCCAATGTTCATGTTCTACGTTTGTTAGCCGTTTAGCTAGCTGAGCGGGGATACACGGGAGGTGTCTTGTGGCCTAGCCTTGGTCAAAAATTACCCAGAATACACTGCAGTATTTTCAAAAGGACGGTGGATCAGAAGCCGGCAGCTACTTCGGGGGCAAATTTCAAGTTTAAAAGTAAGTCAGCTAATTTAAAATGTTTTTTTCAGATCCAAAGAAGTTATCTATGGTTGGTTAGTAGCTTAGTAGTTGCAGCTTCGGTGGCTAGCGGGTAGTAACTCACTTACATATTTAATTTAATAAACATAAACACAATTTAAAAAGTAAAAGGAACTAATACGTATAAAATATAACGTTATCTCCCGTGTCACGTGACATTACGTGTCCGCCGTGGAAGCCGCGGTCATGTGACGCAAGACTGGAAGGACAGTGTTCTCGTAAGCAAGGCGCCTGGCCTCGCAAGCCATCGCCTCGCAAGGCCAGGCGCCTTGACACTGAGAAACGTCCGGTGACTTGATGCAACCTGCTGGGTTCCTTATGTAGGAAAGTTTTTACTGACTGGCTTAATGACCTGATCTGTACTGGAATGTTGAGTGAAGTGATTTGAGACGACTCTTGTCGAGATTTGGCGCTTTATAAATAAATTGAATTGAATTCATTACCCTGACCCTAGCAGGACTCTTTTAGCTTTAGCTTAGCATAAAACAAAGTAAGTAAAAGGTACCAACTAGCCCTGAGTGAATTAAAAGTCATTAAAATGACTCAATAGTGATTCTAAATGGAGACCTTAATAATCAAACTGACTGCAGGTTATCCGACCTGTACACCTCAGTGTCCTGGAGGTGTACAGGTCCTGTATGGAGGGAGGCCAATGACCTTCTCAGCAGAGCGCACGCCATGCCGCCGCCTCTTCTTGTCCCTGCTGTTACTCCAGCGTACCACACAGTGATTGAAGAGGTGAGGATGTACGGTTAGCTAACACGTTAGCCACTGTAACCTGCAAAATTTGCTGTGTGCATTTGAATTTTTTTTTCTTCAGACTTCACAATCCATCAAAATGCTAATTAGGTAATCCACTATCAAAATAAAAGCAGTGTTGCCTTAGATAGCTCTGTTTTAATAAAAAATAAACAGTTTTTCTTCATTTAACAGCGGGAAATGCTGGTATTTTATCAATTTTAATCAAAAGTTGACCGAATATTATAAAAATAATATGTATTTGATGTTATTTCATTATTTAAGGGACAAACTACTTTTATTTTGATGTCGGGTTGTTTGTGTAACCGTAGCAACACACAGCACTTGTTGCCATGACGAGACAAAGTACGCTCTGTTCCAAATGCCGTCCTCGGTAGAACAGACTTCCTGGTGTACTTGCCAAGAAAATACTTGTCCAGTACACAAGAACATACTCGCATCCCTGGGGCTTGAGAAACTGCCCCGTCCCTCTGTTTAGCCCCACCCCCTCATAACTGATCTGTAGCTCCTAATTGCCATCGATCTGTTATTCTAATAGATACATCTAATTATTCTTTTTACCCCTGGCTTAGTTTTTGATAAATTAGGCTTTTTTGTTTATCATCTTTATAAACCCTTTTAGAACTACCTGAAGGTACAGCAGCTAAGAGCCACTCAGAAGCAGAACTCCAGAACTGCTCTGCTCTGGGTGGCTGCATGTTGGAGTAGCGCTGTTGACTATATGTAAGTTTTGCCTTTTCTTGGGCATTTTTTCTTCTAGTTTCTTAAGAAAAACTGTATTTTTGGACACTTTACTTTTCTGTTTCTGGTGCTGTGAAGCTTGGAGGATTTTTACTGCTATTTTTTAGCTTTTTTCACATTTTGAGCATTTGTTATGATGCGTAACCATGGCAACGAGCTGGTTTACAATCGGGAGCAGCTGATTAACATTGGAAAGGCTGAAATAATACCTCAACTGAAGCCACAAATCCCAAATGAGCTAAAAGGCAAGAAGCGTGGGTGCAGAGCGGGAGCAAAACGGAGACGGAGAAAGAGGAAATTCAAACCATCTCTTCCATCGATCATGGTGGGCAATGTGAGATCACTGGCCAACAAGATGGAGGAACTCCAAGCCCTTTCAAGGACTCAACCAGAGTTTCGGCAGTTTGGGAACCGCTGGAGGAGATGATGCAAAGAAGGATTCTCCAGAGAATCAAGGAAATGATGGACAACCCTGAGCATCCTCTTCACAAGACTGTCCGACAACGGAAGAGTGTCTTCAGTCAGAGGCTTCTTCAGTTTGGCTGCAACACTGACCGCTACTGGAGATCCTTCCTGCCAACAGCCATCGTAATATACAACAACTCTTTGATGACCTGATTCTTATTATTATTGTGAGCTACTACAGCAATCAGTTTCCCTCCGGGATTAATAAAGTATTTTTGAATTGAATTGAACTATGATTCAAATAAGCTTTTTCTGTATTTTCTATACTTCAGATTGATTACATTTGAAATACTATTTTAGGGCTGAAACGATTCCTCGAGTACCTCAAATAATTAGAGTACAAAAAATCCTCGAGTCAAATTCTCTGCCTCGAGCCTTCGTTTAACTCATGTTTAATTAATTCATGGCTTAGCAATCACCCGGGGTCATGTTTCACCCGGACCAAAATAAGTGACGCACATACACACTGCACTGAATGCACACGCGAGTAGCGAATGTAACTTAACTTTCTCTTAAGTCATGGCGGACAACGTGGACCCCGGTGGAGTGCGAAAAAGACAGAAAATGTCAAAGTTGTGGGACCATTTTTCACGTCGTAAGGCGGAAAACGTAGTCCAGTATAAATACTGTAAAATGGATGTAGCCTACCACAACACCACATCCTCCATGCTGCAGCACCTGACCAGGAAACATCCACCTGTAAATGTCTCTTCTGCAAGCGGACTCGGAGCCTCTACAAGATAATGCATTTTAGCCTGTATTTCTATATATTCTGCGGACGCTGTGCGACTTTTTCATTTGTAGCACTCAGTTTCAGCTCACCGTACGTCTGGTAGCAACACGTCGGTCTTAAAATGTGCTAAAAATAGCAGTTTTTACACAATATGTCGGACTTTTTACTGTGTTGTTATTGATGTCCGTTGTCCCTCGGGATTGCTGCAGGAGGACACGGGTATTTATGAGTGGCGGAGGAAAACGAAAGGAAGTAAATAAATGTTTTGTGATCAGTATAATTTGACATAACCACAGCAAACATGCTTTCGAAAATCCTTGT